CCCCCCCCAAAAAAAAAAGAAATCAGGGATTACCAAATCAGAAAAGCAAGTATCATTCTCCGTTATTAAGACTTCTTGAATCCGGAAACAGATTGAGACATGACCTGTCTAACGGCATAAAATGCAGGCAGGAAAGGCCTAGGCGCCCCAGTCCCTAAAGAGGGTAGGCTGTTTGGCTGGGGACTTGCAGTTCAGTCCCAGGAGGAAGATGAAAGTGTAACAACAGACAGTGACTGATACTGAAGTCTTGAATGTATTCTGCTGGACCTCTTACACCTTGCCTGTCCCCCATCACCTCCAGCCACCCAGCTGTCAAGACAGTCTGCGGGTCCTACTTCGCCTCTCTCTATAACACTTGGCTATAGAGTCAGGATGTTACCTAACAAACATGTGCCCTGCTCAGCTTCAAGGGAGGACAGGACATCACCGGGGCCGTAGAGTTGTTTCGCACAGTGTCCCCCCCCCCCAATGCATCTACTTCTCCCACGGCACCTTACGGTATCTTGCTACTCCAGAGCCTCCCTCCGAATGGTTGCCACACTATCCACAGGAAGTGTCACAAGTGCATACTGGACCATGATTCTTCCTTGCTCTGTTCTTAAATGGCTTTTCACTGCCTTTAGCAGCCAATGGGAACTCGTAAACCCAGACCCAGGGCATTCTATGAGCTAAGCTCTGGCCCACATCTCCAGCTGCTCATGCCTTCTCACGGGGTTACATCTTCTAGCCACATTGCCCTTTCTGGTGGTTCTAGATCGCCTACCTTGTCCCACCTGCAGGCCTCTACAGGATCTCCTCCCTGTACTTAGAATGCTCTTCCTTACATTTCTCTTCATCCTTGAGAGTTTGACTTAAGTATCAACTCCTCACACAAGTCTTTGCGGACTTCAAACGCCCTTTACCAAATTCTAATGTAAATTAGTACCTTTGGTTCTTCATAGGCTTGAGATACTTTATTAATAACATGGTCCTTTTGTGACTACCTAGCTTACTACCTGATAACAGTGGCTGAACCAATTTTTCTATCATCACAACGCCAGAAAACAATCAGTATCTGACACGTGGTAGTTGCTCAGTAAATATTGGTCAGTAACAGCTATCATCGCCACAACTTAGAAACAACTGATGTGCCCTTTGTTAAGTACATCTAATGGCAATTTTTTTTTTGGTTGGTTGTGGGGCTTGAACTCAAGGCCTAGGTCCTGTCCCTGAGCTTTTTTGTGCTCGAGGCTAGTGCTCTACCACTGGAGACACAATGCCACTTCTGGATTTTTCTGAGTGGTTTATTGGAGATAAGAGTCTCATAGCCTGTCCTGTCTGGGGCTGGCTTTGATCCACAAACCTCAGATCTCAGCCTCCTGAGTAGCTACGATTACTGGCAGGAGCCACCAGCGCCCGGTTAATATTAAAATTTTATTCAGCACTAAAAACAGTGAACCATCAGTTCGCTGAAAGAGAAAATTTACATGCAGATTCTTAAGAGAAAAAATGAAGACATGCTATAAAGTCTGGTACTAGTCCCCTTTTTGTAGTTATAAAATATCTGAAACTGGTAGCTTATTGAAGAGGTTTAAATAGCTCACAATTCAGGAGGTTTAAAGATATTATGCTTGCTGCGTGTGCCTGGTTGTAGAGAATGACTCATGGTAAATGCATCACGAAGATGGGAGCACACAGGAAGGGGAAGAGTTAACATACAAGACAGGAAGAGAGAGTTCTCTGGTTTAGAATTATCCCTGAACAGAAAGAACAGAGAAAATCTACTAACGTGAAAGGACTAAAGACCCTTTTAGGACTGGAAATGACCCAGAAGTCAGGAAGTATTTCCAACCGTAGGAGGCACGGCAGCAAGACCCATGGGAAGAGCTGGGAATCAATCTCTTCTTCCTCTAGGGACTTCTCCTACCATAAGTAGTTGATGGAATTCTACCCTAAATCCAACACTGGAGACCTAGATGAGCGAGTTTTGAAACCTGGCTCACACCAACTAAGAAACACTAAGAAAGCGGGGGCTGTGAGGCCCCGCTTCACCTCGGACCATCAACAACCCCCGGAGCGCCACCACCGTACTGCAGAGTAGGGCCCCTGCAATGAAGTTGTGGGTGTGTAGTGATCGGCTAGGGAAAAAGCAAATGTGAGTTTGGGAGGTGGCCTTTGCACCCTGAGCTCAAAGTACTAGCAGAAATAAGTCCTGGTTCCCCTCAGTTCATTTAGCTGTGTTTACTAAGCTCTTACTCTGTGCAAAGCAACAGTATCTAGAAAGGAGGTTGAGGAAGAAGCTAGAGAAATGTCATGTGACTCCTGCAGATGAGAGAGCGGCTAGCTCAGGTGTCCTG